GAACTGCCACACCATCCCCGAGGTGAAGGTGACAGCGTGCCTGGTGTGGAAGGACTGGCCCTACCGTGTCCACCCCCACGGGCTGGTGGGCAAGGACTGCAGCAACGGGCTCTGTGAGGTTGTCCTCAAGCCCCAGACCAACCCCAAGCACAGGTACATGGCGCCAGGATGAGTCCTGCTGCCAGCAGGGAGCTGCGCCGGGCCAGGACAGAAACCCTGCACCGGGACGCTGGCATTGGCTTGTGCCAGAGCTGGCACCGGGAGGACGAGGGGGGGTCCCTGGGAGGGGCAGGACACCTGGGTCCCCTGGGCTTTTGGAGCAGAGGGAACCGTCTCCCCAGCACATCTCTGCTCTCCGGCAGCTTTAGCAACCTGGGCATCCAGTGTGTGAAGAAGAAGGAGATCGAGGTGGCGATAGAGAAGAAGCTGCAGCTGGGCATTGACCCCTTCAAAGGTGGGGGGGCTTAAGCAGAGCCGTTCCTGCGGGGCTGAGACTGTATTGCGGTGGGGCATCCAGATCCCATGGGGATGTCCCCAACCCCACCCTGTGGGGCCACTGACCGTCCCCCCTCCTCTCCCCTAGCCGGTTCCCTCAAGAATCATCAGGAGGTTGACATGAACGTGGTGAGGATCTGCTTCCAGGCTTCCTACAAGGACAGCTCCGGGCAGACACGGCACCTCAGCCCTGTGCTCTCGGAGCCCATCTTTGACAAGAGTATGTGGGGTGAGGGGGGTGCTTCACATCCTGGCTGGGGGGCCACCAGACCCCCAGAACCTTCCTGGCTCCAGGATGGGACAGGTGGTGAGGCTGCACCACCCAGTTCCTCGCTGGGCCCTGGCTCAGGCTGCAGGGTTTGTCCCACGTGGCCAGCGGGGATTTGTCCTCCGTGCCTGGGGTGGGACGGTCACCCACACCCCACGGGGCTGGCCCCCTGCGCGAGGGCTGCTCGGGAAGGGATGCTGCCGATGGGAATGTCACCGGTGCCCGGTCCCAGTCCGGTGGCCGGTGCAGTGCCCAGGCA